TCTGTTGAGGATAAGTCGTGATCTCCACCAGAATAATCTTTTAGTACTATAAAGTAGCCTTGAGGATAAGTCATGATCTCCACCAGAATGATCTCTTAGCTGCAATAAAGTAGTTTTGAGGATAAGTCATGATCTCCACAAAAATGATTTCTTAGCTGCTATAAAGTAGCTCTAATCTGTTAGGAGAATACTATAAATGGCACGCCCCACCAACACTTACAGGGGACAGATCGATGACTGGAGACCACTGCTTCTTTGATTCTCCATTCTCTCAAAGCTTGTATCTCTATTCTCNCTAATCTGTTAGGAGACTACTATAAATGGCACGCCCCACCAACACTTACAGGGGGCAGATCGACGACTGGAGACCACTGCTTCTTTGATTCTCCATTCTCTCAAAACTTGTATCTCTATTCTCTATACCTTTGAATTAATAAAATACCCGGCAACTGAAGTCATTGAAGAGTGGACGTAGNGTCATTGAAGAGTGAACGTAGGTCGAATTGACCGAACCACTATAAATCGTGTCTTATTTAATTTTTTCATTGATTTCACTGTATTTATTACCTACACTTGACAGGTGGTGTGCAAAACTATTTTTGTGCATCATCAATATGTATTCAAACAAGAGTATAAATGGGATTGGGTGGGTCAGGACNCATGTCTTATTTAATTTTCTCATTGATTTCACTACATTTATTACCTACACTTGACAGGTGGTGTGCAAGACCATTTTTGTGGATCATCAATATGTATTCAAACAAGAGTATAAATGGGATTGGGTGGGTCAGGACATTATTTTTTTCAATCCTCTCTTAATGACTAAAACAAACACACTCGGATAGTGTCTAAAGTTGTATCATACATTGTCAAAATGCATTAGCTTTGACTATGGGAATAATATATTGAAAAATAGATTGTGTTTAAGTTGTATGGCGTAAAAAGTTGTAGCCCAAAATCAGACTCATTTATAGTCTACTTGTTGTGTCTAAGTTATATCATGCATTGTCAAAATTGACTTAAGCCATCACATGCCTATTTATTAAATTGGTCTAGCGAGTAATTTAATAACAACCAAACACAGTAAGGCTAAGCCTGCACCCAATAGTTTCGAGTAGGTTTTTTGTTCTCTTATACTCCATTTAGTATGATGAAAAAATAAAATGATGAGAAATTGAAAGGATAGAAAGTTTGAGAGATAAATAAAACATCATGTTTAGTAAGGATGAAAAATAGAAAAGTTGGAAAAGTTGATAGATTAACTTTCCGTCCAACTCACCCAAACCAATCTCTCTAAAATCGGAAGAAAAGTAGATGGAAAATTAATTATTTGTATTGAGATGTATTTTATTTGTCAATATATTATGTATACATTAATTTCATATAAAAATACAATGATAAAATATGTATATATATATTTTAAAAAAATTATAAATAAATTTATAAATTAAAAAATTAAATTAAATTAAAAAAAATTCTTCTTATCTAGAGGTAAAAATTTTCGACTCAACACGATGACATGACTCGAACTCGACCCGAATTTTATAACTCGAACTTGATTATAACTCGACACGAACTTAAAAATGTAAAAGACTCATAATTTTATGATTGAACACGAATCTGACACGACACGAGTCAATTTTCACCCATAATCTTAACTAGGACAAATAAAAATTAAAAAAAAAATTAGTCATTTTTATTTTTCATCCATCCAACCAAACACAAAGGAAGAAAGATATATCATTTTTATATTCCATTCTTAAAAGATAAAAAGTGTATCTCTCTTACTTTTCAATCTTCCTACCAAATGAAACAATAGTAAAATAGGTTAAGAATAGTCGTATCATGTTAAAACTCTTTACCTACTCAAGTCATATAGACTTAAATTTACTTTGACTCAAAAAATTCATTTGTTATAAAAGTGACAACCGATTTGATTGTACCAATGAATTCATCAAAATGAAATTCAGAATTAGTACCTGCATATCGATTTTATAAAAATCACTAATCTTACTCAAGACCTTTTTTTTTT